TTTTGAATGAGCTGGTGGCAGATTCTAGGCCCAGGAGTCTCAGTCTTCTGAGAGTGGGGGGAATGGGGTGCTTGCCCCACCCCTGCCTCTCTCTTCTCCCCTCCACAGCCACGGGCCCAGCTCCAGTCCAGAATGAAGTTTTCTGTTTCTGAGATGCCTCTGAAATCGTAGCTCCCGTATATTTAGTTACCTGTGTTTAAACTCTCATTAGCTTCTGGTTTGCATTCACCTATCTGGATTTCTAAAAATTTACTCTACCTCGCCTCATCAGACTGCGTTTTTTTATCAACCGGTTAAAATATTTCTTATGTAGAAATATGCCATTATTTTAAAAAATGACTGAACAAATATGTATTCGCTCACCTCCTTGAGCAGTAATAGTTTATTGCCATTTCCAACGTAGAAAATATTATTAAAATAAAATCACGAGCATGAATCTTCATAAGATAGATGTTTCCTGAAACTCTGAACAAATTCTGTGTTTTTCTCTGCTAGAAATCTTTCCTTCCTCCAACAGTTTATTGGCATCTCACTCACCTATCATACAATTCAGTCATTCAATCACGTCAGTAAAAGTTGTATAATCATCACCACACTCAGTGTCAGAATAGTTTCTTCATTCTTGGACTCATCATTATTAGTTCTCCATTTCTCTCCAAACTTCCCTGCCTCACTCCCAAGGAACCATCAGTCCAGTTACTATCTCTATAGATAGCCTATCCCGGATTCCTTATAAAGGAAAACATAAAAAACAAGCAAACAAACACTAACAAGAATAACAAAGTAAAACAGATGCCTACTAGACATCTTAAACTTGTAACTAAACTGCAGCTAAACTTTTAAAAATCAGAGGAAATCTTGACTGTAGTGATAAATACATAGGTCTACGCATGTAATAAAATTACTATTAATTTCACTACACATGTAATAAAATTATGTAGCATTAAATGCACACGACTACAAGGAAATTGGGGCGGTAGAAAAATTGAGGGAATCAGTTAGTTCCAGTACCTTGATCATGATATTGGTGGAGAGTTTTCTAAGATGTTGTTGTCCTGGGGGCAACTGGGTGAAGGGCACACAGAATTCCTCTGTATTATTTTTTATAACCACAAGTGAATCTTCAGTTCCTTGCTTCTTGACGATCTTGTTATCCAACATTGAACATTTACGACAGTAGTAAAAATCCTCTCTCTGGCTCTTTTGCCCATTAACACCATGTGCCAGGCCATAACAAAGGCCAAGGTACTAGACGAGAGTAAAACTGGCTGTATGGTTATGTGGTAGTTTGTCTGCGTCATGATTCTTAGTGTTGTTTTTTTCTCAACATTTTATTGGGGACTCATACACCTCTTATCACAATCCATCCATCTATCCATTGTGTCAAGCACAATTGTATATTTGTTGCCATCAACATTTTCAGAACATTTTCTTTCTGCTTGAGCCCTTGGTATCAGCTTCTCATTTTTCCCCTCCCTCCCTCATGAACCCTTGATATTTATAAATTATTGTTATTTTTTCATGTCTGACACTGTCCGATGTCTCCCTTCACCTACCTTTCTGTTGTCCATCTCCCAGGGAGGGGGCCATAGGCAGATCATTGCGATCGACTCCCCCTCTCTCTCCCCACCTTCCACTGATTCTTAGTGGGTTGGCAGTTATGGAATGATGTCATCATCCTCTATTTTCTGATCTGACATGGTCATTTCTGCTCTTTGGGACCTAATCATGTTGATAAATTGAGGAGTGGGTATATTTTGAAATAGAACTTCTAATTTTAAAAATATTATTAAAAAAAACAGAGGAAAGAACTCAAACGTCTTCCTTTTGTCTGTCCTTGAGTTAATGTGTGTGACACCTGGCCTCTCGGTGTGTTTCTTGTGCATTCTTGGCACTATTATCCACTTCTCTGTCGAATCTCGGCTGGCAGCACCAGGCACCAGGACTTTGCAACTGCATTTTATTGGACACAATAAGACAGGTTCTTCAATAGGACAGGTGCGCCAGCTCCTAGTTGCTTGCTCTTTTAGGTCTAAGGGAGTTGGAGACAAATGGCTGCCATTTACGTGTGACATAATTTCACCCCCCACAAGCCAAAAGTTGTCACATGGGATTCTTCCATCGTGGAAGGCACACAGACCTCCCCAGCCACGGTGTGGTATGTGTTACCTTTGTCAACACAAGGGGGTGGTATTTGAAAGCAGAAAATCCTAGAACTTGATTCTTGGTCCCGAGACAGTTTCTTTCCAGCACGGGGTCCAGGCAGCAGTTGGAGGCAACTCTGTCATTCCACGCAGCCACGCTCTGTGGGACTGAGAACCAGAGAGCCTTTGTTTTGCTGTATTGAACCTGTCCGTTTTGTGGATCATTTTCTCTATTTCTCAAGTCTGTCTCTGACTCCCTGACGTTCTTCCTACTGCCCATGTCCTCGCGGTCTTTTGGTTTTGTCTTTTCTTCTTACCAACTTTATTGTGTACAATTTATGCAAACAAACCACATCTATTCCAGTCATATAGTTTTTTTGGCTTTCAGCATATGTTATGTGCTAGGAAACTACTGCCACAATCAAGATACAGAATTTTCCGTCCCTTGCCTCAAGCTCTTGGTTTCCCATGAAATGCAGGCAACCACTAGTAATTATTTCAGTCACTTTGATCCCTTTTGGTCACTATAGATTTGTCTGTATTTTATATAGACGAACTCTTTTGTGTCTTGCTTCTTATACTTGTGAAGATGTGCAGGTGTGGAAGCTCATGGGGCCAGTTCTGCTCTGTGCTTCAGTTGCTTTGAGTTGGAATCGACTCAGGGGCAGTACGTTTTTGCACTCAGTAATGCTCCAAGGCACATCCACGTTGTTTGCAGTTTGCATCCCATTATATTGCAGAATTGTGTTCCATTGTATGAATACGTTCTCGTTTGTCCATCCACTTGTTTATATGCATAGAGTATCTCCGTTTCAGAGCTGTTGTGAAGAAAGCTGTTTTGGACATTCCTGTACCGTTTTTGTATGGACAGCTAGTTTTATTTCTCTTGGGTCAATTCTCTGTGCTGGAGTCACTGCATGGCATGGTAAGTGCAGGTTCGACTTTTTAAGGTATTGTCAGATGCTTAGGGGGATTACAGTGTTTTAATTCCCACCGTCAGTTTAAATATTCCAGTCTTTGCGGGTCCACACCAGTGTTGTTTTAAGTCTCCTTGTGGTTTCAATTTGCATTTCCCGGGGGACAAATGATATCCACATTTTCCTCTATGCT